TTTTTAAAATTCTAAAATAAATTTATATATATGAGTACAAATATTTTCTACTTAAAATACTATAATTATTTTTATAATTTTCACAATTATTTTATAATATATTCATATAATTGTCAAAATCTCCTAAATATTCAAATGACAACTCAAAATTCCACCCTCAAACATCCACACCCTTAATATACTATTGTTTGTCTTTTTATATATATATATATATATATATATAATGCATCTGGTCAATCTCTTGGTTGAATATAAAATGAAATTTAGTTGGACATTTAGACATTGTAGGGCCCACACAAGTGTGAATGCTACTATTCTTCAGATGAAAATTTCAAGACAAAATATATATATATATATAGGCAGTTGTCAATTAGAATTGCTCAACCTTATCTCGTCATTTTTATTAATATACCAATATTTTAGTGATCTGTATAAATTTTATTTGTGTTCCTTTTGCACGAAGAAATGATCTTTATTACTTGCATCGCAAGGAAATTCGAAATAATAGTAAAATATTAAAATTATAACAAGTAAAATTGTAAAATAGGGGTTGGATGTCATTCTCATTCGGATAGACCTGGTGCTAATGTGATTGAATTAGTATATTTTCGTCCAGACTTTAAAGGTCTCGTTTACTTTTTGCATGTTGATATTTGAATATTAATTATTATATCAAAATGTAATATATATTAAGAAACAATTGTAAAAATACTTTTATTATTGTCCTATAATATTAATAGAATGGTATTTGTACGAAAAAAATATACAAATATAAAAATATTTTTAATACAATGACACAAAATGTTAATGGAACATTTAGAAGTGGACAAAGAAAATATTATATATATTGCCGCATATTTATAATATAACATATGTTATATTATAATACAATATATGTTTATTATATAAAAATTCATGATAGTTCATATTTATGTCTTTGACCAGATCAGCATGGAGATCTGTACACTATAAAATAGTATACTATTGTAGTTTTATTACTGACTTAATTTTAAATATGAAATAAAATAAAATGTATGTAAGAACTTTTCTGTGAAGTAAAATTTCCAAGAAATTGTTACCTCGCTTGTTTTAATAAAGTGGTGATTATTAAATTGTGCTTATAAGAGCAATGGATAATATAAACAATGATATATAGGGAGTGGCAACGATTGCTTCTCATTGTATTATTATTATTATTTTTTTTTTTTTTCCTTTATCATATTTATTTATATGTTATATGTAAATTTTAAAATATTAATATTTTATATATAAATTGCAAAATAAAAAAAGATAAAAAGGTAAATTTACACCTGAAAATTATAAATTAGGTAACAATGATGATTCTATTTTGGAATAATATGTAATTTTTTTTTAAGTTACGTGAAAAATATAATTACTAAAAAAAATTGAATTCGAACATATTAAAATAATCAAATAAATAAATTGCGCATGGAGAAATTATTATTATTATTATTATTATTATTATTATTATATCTTGAATTCAGCCCACAGTATAACATTAATGTTGCCAATAATATTTTGTGTAATATATAATTTAAAATGTCAATGACATGTTTTGTTCTATTTGTATATTTTAAATTTTCACCGTCGTAAATTACAATAAAAATATAATATTTCTTTATGTAAAATATTAAATAAAAAATATGTTTAAATTTAAATTAAATTAAAAAAAAAATTCAAGAGAATACACGCACATCCTTAACAAAAACTAAATACAAAATGTTACAAATGAATTAACAATCCAAAACAAAATCTTCTAAATAAGCTTATGGGTCTCATCCCAATGGATTAACATCATATCATGGGCCAATACAAAAGATTAAAACAAATCTCCATTACCCAAGCTTGTCATATAAATTCATAACAATGTAAATACATAAAGTACTTAACAAGTAACTTGTCTATCATTCGAGTTAAGAAATATAAGTTAATTTTTTTTCTTTTAAATTCAACTTGTTAAGAATTCAAGTAGGTTGAGCTTAGCTTCGATCAATTTTTTTATCTTAATCGAACCCTATTTAAACTTAAGATCAAGCTTGGTTCGACTCAGCTCATTTAGCTATAACCTAACAAGCTCAAGCTCAAGCTAAAGTTTGTTTCGGTTAGTTTCTATTGTACTTGGAGCTCAAGGAAAAGAAAAGAATTTTGGTAAAAACAAAATGGGAGATAAAATGGTGAATTGAGTTTTAATAAGTGAATTAAGAAGAACTTATTATATATTAAGCTAATCAAGAGAGGATTAAATGACCATATAAATAAAGATTTGAATAAAGCCTTTGGAAGAGAAAATAAAAGAAGGGCTTGCAAACATAAAAATGGGATTCCACTTCCAACTCAAAATCCAAACCCCCGAACAAATACAATCAGTATCATACTTATGCCTTAAAACTTAATCATTTTAATCTAAGTGATTAAATATTATAATTAATATTTCATCCGTCCCGCTTACCGTGTCCACCTTTCTATTTCCGTCTCTGTCTTACTTATTTTTTCACTTTTCTTTTTTTTGAAAAAGTATTATACACTTTAATGTTATTTTAAAATTTTTAAGTTAAATTTTTTTTTAATTTTAATAATACTAATGGACTATTTTAATATTAATTTAAAATTATTTTTATTACATAATTATTATTTTCACTAATACATTTTTAATTATTTACTAATTATACGTCTCGTGCCTAAAGTAAAGGGGACACCATACATGGACTGGAGGGAGTATAATTATATGTAATTATTTTTTAGACATAAACATAGTACTGAATTTTAAAAATTCAGTGCCCTAACTTATCCATTTTTAAATGATTAATTTGTATATATTTATATATATATATATTACTCTATTCGCTTCGTTTAATTTGTCTATTCTTTTTTTTTTCGTCCGTCCCATATAATTTGTCATTTCTTTTTTTGAAAATATAGTTATACACTTTAATCAGAGTTTAAAATTCATAATTTATAAAAAAAATTATTATAATTAAACTATTTAGTCATTTTAATTTTAATCTATAATTATTTTTATTAAATCATAATTATTTTCACTAATATATTTCTTAATTATTTTTAAAAAAAAAAACAAATTAGCTGGAACGAAAAGTATAGTAAATAATAAGCTATTCTCTATTACATTTATATGTTATGCTAAATAGAAGAAACTTAACTAATTATTCTCTACTATTATTTCCTTCCATATTTTTTTTAAAGAAACTAAATTATCTTATATCATGAAAACAATTTTTCAAATATTATACATATAAGATAGGAATAAACAAGGAGCTCAAAAGACTAAGAGATCTCAAAAACAAAACCAAAAGGGCCCAAATCCCGGCCCAATTGATATATGGCCTAAGTGTGTATGTAAGAAAAGAAGTAGAAATTATTTATTTATTTATTTATTTATTTATTGTCTAAACTCAAATTATCATATTTACTATTTTTGTTAGTTCCACTTAAAAAAATCTGTTTTTTAATATAATAAAAATACGTTATATACAAATATAAAAAATACTCCTATTTTTACACAAATTATATAAATTTTATTACTTTATTTGTATTTGTAAGGACAAAAATGTCAAATTATTTCACCTCTACTGACGAATAGAATTATATTACTTAATTCACTAAAAAAAAAAAAAAAAAAAAACAAACAAATAACTCCTTTTCACCTGTGACCGAATTTCCAAGAATATAAAGTTATAAGTATATATATATATATGTACACTACGGGTGTGTTTGTTTGAAGGATTTTGGAGGATTTCTACTATTCATCCAATTTTTTTCCCCCAAAAACATCAAATCAAACACGTATTTTTCATTTTTTATATTATACTAAAAATCAATTTTACATTCAAAACATCACATCAAACCCTATTTATATCACATCATACAACTATTCAAATTCAAAATTTTTACTATTCAAATCCCAATCCAAAATCCAAACCCCCAAACAAACACACCCTACATGTATATCAATGATATTGAAGTCATTAATAATCTCCTTAGAGATATATTAGGTGATAATTTATGAACTGGAATCCTCCAAAGTAAGTTTTATAGCTAAATTGACAAAAATATATTTTGTGTTGTTTGCTCTATTGTTACGTTTTTCATGTTGTGCCGTATTAAGCTTATAAAATTTCTATAGACAGAATCTAAGGAGGTGTTTGATACAGATAATTGACAGCATATAAATAAAAATATTTTTTTTTCTCTTGTTTGTTTGAGTTAAAATAAATAGAATTTGATAAATAAATTATTTATATTTTTCTATTTTTATTTCTTCCCCGTATTCATAGAAATTGAGATAAATGAATGTTGCAATATTTTTTTTATTTTTTGTACTTTTTAATTTTTATAATTTAAAATTTATATTTAAGTATTTAATTTTTAAGATTTTTTAAGAAATTGTACACAAATATAATCTTACAAAAACATCGTATATAATTTATAATTTTTTTAAAAAAATCACAAAAAATATTTCTTTATGAATTCTTATTCGTTAACTCTCTTTTGTACTATTCTTATTTGATCCATTCAGATATAGCTGCAATTTTTATATTTTTCAACTGAATTCTCTATTTTTTTCAAACAAAAGAATTAATTCTTATTCTCTCATTTTCTCTGCAATTTCATTATCCGTCAAGCACCCCCTAATTTCGTCGTAAAATTCCAAACCCGAATATTATATAACATGAACTATTTTAGGTCAAATTCAAGTTAACTAATATTGTTACATGCCAACTCATATCAAGAAGAGAACCTAAGATCAAAGAGAAAGGCTATAATTCTGATGATCTCCAAGTAGACAATGAGGCTCTCTTGAAATAAACGAAACACATTTTCTCCCACCCTCATGATTGAAACCCGATTTGCACGGTAACCACCGGATACAATCTTTACTTGCCCGTGATCGCCACAAAAAACTCTCAAAAGCAGCTAGATATATGCACGGCGACAGTAATGAAGCTGGAGAGGTTGGGGAAGGTGTGAAGGGATGAATTTATTTTAACGAGTGTGTAATTTTCACTTAAAGCTTGGACGCGCAATATATTGAGGTGTTTTTTTTCGATCAAAATATTACATCCAACAATTATTAAAAAGAAAAAACATAAAATCCAAAAGACAAAAAACAATGACAAATAAACACCCATGATATGTACTTTAGATAGACCGAATGCGAAGAAAACACAAACCTAATCCGGGCATGTGATAGCTTACATAGAAACCGTAGATAAACGATCATTTCAGAGTAATTCGGAGCATACCTTTAGTGACAATAAAAACATGTTCAATAGTTTTTTATTGCCAAAACAACGATGGAATTCGCCTCATTCATCCTCCCTCTCCGGAGGGAGCCCACAAGGCATAAGCATTTTCTGCATAATGCAATGTTAAGGGTGTCAAAAAAATCATCACTTCCTACACAGTGAGCTACTTACCTATGCATCCTAAATCCGAAAAGAGAATAAAATTTGTAAATCACAACCTTAGAACGATAATGCAATGAAAGAAACAAAAAGAATGGAGGCTAATTCTAGATGGCTTTCCGTATCAATCTCATGCACCTCTCACTGATAAGTACAGTGGCATATAGTCCCGAAGATGAAATTGAACTCTATTCATTTTATTAATATAATGGAAATTTCACGGATGTCACAAAAATGATGCGATAACTTAGAATGAAAATAATTATAATACAGAACATATACAGGTAAGGCTGTGTGGGAACAAAACGGCAATTGGACTTAGAAAATAATTGTGCAGAATAGTAAATTCGTCTTTTGTAGCTATATTATATGAAATTATTATACCTATAAAACAACCGATATCAAAATGAAACCATAAAAGAATAATGCAAGTACAGTAAGAAATTGTGCTCATTTATATATACACAAGCATAGAACCAAGCCAAGTTTAACCTAAATGCATCTCCGCATAGGAGGCGTTCAATTTCCAATAAGTGAACAAAATGGATTGGTCTAAACAATATTTAAGTTTTTTCTATGAATCCTCATACAACTCCAACAATCTAATAGGTCCATATAGAAGAGGTCTTCATCCACGATAAAAAGTGATTGGTAGCTACTAAAAGTATCCTCAACTTGATTTGATGCTTGATTATATGCAAAGACTTTGCGCTTACTTAAATTTACATATAATATGCATATATAAGTGAATATGTCGGGTACAAAATACGATAACAATGTTGTAAATTACACACAAACATATCTATAAATTTAATAAAATAACATAATTAAACAGTTTTTTCATTTGACAAAATTACAACACCACAACACAATATTTTAAGAGCATCTTTTTATTGTCTTAAATCTTACATCACTAAAAATGCCAGAGCCCTCTTCCTACTAACATCTCATTAGTATAGTTGAATGATTAATTTTTTATGGTACCCAACAAGAAGAAAAAAAGACAGGAGAGATCAGCACAATTTAATCTCAATTTCCCGATTAACCTCCATCTAAAGTTGATATGAATAGAGATAATTATTAAAAAAAAAAAAAGTTAAGCATGAGAAAAAGTATTCATTTCATAAGATGGTATATATATATGCCATGAAATTGATATACAATAGTGATTTTACAATGACATTAGAACATAAAGCTTTTGCGACAATGAGCAATAAAAAGGTAAAAATTCTAACTTCAATTTGTAATCATGCATTAAAGATCACTCAGACACAGAGGATATTGTGCCATTACAATGTCATGAGAGCATTCTAGTATCCAAGCAAATAGCCAACTAAATCATATAATACCACGCAACCAATCGAGCCAAAGAAATCAGGTCATAGCTAACATACAAGAATACATTGTCATTTCACACACAATTAAAGTTAAAAGTTACAAAAGATTACAAAATGTAACAATGATTCCACTCATTCTCATCAAATAATTTGTATGATTCACAAAGGAAATTTATTAGTGCCCCAAGAATTTACAAAATCTTGCAGTGTTTTCCATTAAGGCGCTTCATAAATAATCTAGACTCTCTTGAATGTATAAAAACCAATCATAATAGGCACCCCATTTACTTGACGAATGCCAGATCATTTGCAACATAAGTCAGTCAATAACACTAATCATATTGTATCAATAGATCCATCAGTTATCACGTCAACAGGATAGAGTATGGTTCAGCAACAATGCCAACAAACAATTATCTTATCAAATTGACTCAGATGCTCAACTTGAAAACAACAATTTATTCAAACTCAATTTTAAGTAATTCAAGCTACATGACAAGTAATTCAATTTTAAGTAATTCAACTCGTTTTCCACATCAAACTTTGTTACTCGAAAAGAAGCAAGCCACATGACAAGTATCACAAACATATAAGAGCTCACCCTCAGCTCATGGAAATCTATACCGCAATGTACTTAATTCAATTACAAGAAAATGAGAACACAATTTAGTTATGATCTGCTCAACCACAACTAGAATCTATCTCATTCCTAAAATCATACTAAAAACACTCATATATATATATATATATATATCTAAATATTTACAACAAAATTCAAACCTGCATAAAATTGTAGCGCTCTCGCCCAACAGATTCGTTTTCGGCTACAGCAAAGTATGCCAAAATGGGGTAATGACCAATATAAGATGCATAGCTATCTCGGTGAATATTCAGGGCCCATTCACTGTGGAAGAAATTTTCCATAGAAAATAACAAATGAAAATCCATAAACCAGTTAAGATTCCAAAAAAGGGAAGACAAAATAAACAAAAACACCAAAAACAGAGTATTTACAATCGTGTCAAATCGGCATGCCCTGTGCCCACATATTTAGCCTGCAAATGCTCGAGCTGGGAGTTTATGTTAAACCTATCACTCGCCTGCAACAATCCAATCAAATAACCAAAAACCATAAGGGCACACAGCAAATCCAAAGTACAGAAAATTAGGGTTTAAGGTCCTGAAGGGGTTTGATTCAAGTTACCTGCATGTTCACGGTCGAATGGAAGTCGGAAACACAAAATAGATTACGAGAAAACCTCAAATCTCTGCAAAATTGAGGGGATGGTTAACCCGCTAAATTCATCTAATTGAAAAAACATAACACGCTGCAAAAATAATCTAAAATTCTTAAACTCACTTCTCTTCAAGCCAGAAGACAACAAACAACAAGATCAAATTAAAATACAATCAATTAAAAAAAAAAACACTAAAATTAAAACAAACCTGATAGATTGCTTCACGACCGGCGGCAGCAGCAACAGGGGAGGAGAAGAAAGAAAAGGACGAGAGGAAGAAAATTATAGCAGCTGGTAGGGGCAATTTCGGGCCGGCCCGGTCCTATATTTATTTATCAATTTATTTTTTAAAAAAATCTAAAATAATTCAATAAAATTTTAAATGAAAAAAAGTATGATAATTGACTCCATAAGTTAATAGAAACTATATAAAGTTTTAATAATTAGATTATACTTTTATTTTTAACATATATTTATTTTTTAATATATTAATAAAATTAATTATTTTTAAATATATTTTATTTATTAAATTAGTACGGCTAGTTCATCGAAAAACAAATGAAATGGAAAATTTTTCCTTATGATCTTATTGTCACGTAGAGATTCATTCAAAAAAATTTAAATTTGTTTAGATTCCAATTTTCAATTTTTGGTACTATTTTAATTCTTCTTAATATAAAATCAAATATCAATGTTTTACTATTTTAGAGATTTCAAATTTTTTAAAAATTTCTTATTCAAATATTTTTAATTTTTTGAATAAACAAATATATTTATTTATATTCAAGATTTTTATATTTTTATAATTTTACTTTATCTTAATTAAAAATAAATATTTATATTTTTTTATGTAGTATTATATTAAATTTTATTGTCCGTATAATTATATTCAGTATATATAATTTTTGTTAAAATATATTGTTTAAAACACTTTAGGCTAAATTGCATAAAACCTATGTGTGGTTTTATAAAATTGAATCAAATATTTTATACTTCTAAAACTACGTCAAACCCACTCGTGGTTTCATAAACTATGCGTCTAACCCCTGACGATCCTTTATTCAACGGTATTTGACCTAAATGCGCTCAAATTGCGAATACATTTTAGAATCTCAAATTTTAAATCCCTAAAATTACAAATATATTTATTTTTTATATTTAGTTTTAAAAAATAGTAAATATACTAAAAAAATAGTTATTTTCTCAGATTTTAAAAGTTTATTTTTACTTTTTTTTAGGCTAAATATAAAAAAATAAATATATTTATAACTTTCGAAATTTAGAAATTAAAATTTTAAAATTTATTTGCAGTTTCGGCGCATTTAGGTCAAATACCATTAAATAAGGACCGCCGAGGGGGTTAGACGTAAAATTTATGAAATTACGATAGAGTTTGACACAGTTTTCAAAGTACGAGTAATTTGGTGCAATTTTGTGAAACCACTTGTAAATTTTGTGCAATTTAGTCAATATTTTAACACATATTTTAATTTTTTCATCATATATTACATTATAAATAAATATTATTAAACAAATTACTTCTAACTCAATTTTCAACTTAAAAATCAAACAATAGCTCACCTATAATTTATTTTCTTCTTATTCTTCAGTGAAGCTCTCAGCTTTTATTGTCGCCGCGAGAGTCATCGCCCCGGCCCGCCCGTTGTCGGTGTCTTTTTACTTTTGCATTTTTGTTCTTCACTAACCTTCACGAATCATTCTTCACGCCTCCGGATTCGATTCTTTTTCATCTGAATGCGTTGTTAACCTTATCGTTGTTGCAATCTTTATCTTATCCAGAAACACAGTTACTATTTATTGAGATCTTTTGTAATTTTTGTTCAATTTGTTACTTTATATTTAAACTTTATTGTTCTTGTGTTAATTTCAATGCGTATTATTATAACAAAGGAGGCTTCAAAAAAAATTTAGGAATATATGGTGTGTTTGTTTGGGGGTTTGGATTTTGAGTTGAGATTTGAATAGTCAAAATTTTGAATTTGAATAGTTGTATGATGTGATATAAATAGGTGTTGATGTGATGTTTTGAATGTAAAATTGATTTTTAGAATAATATAAAAAATAAAAAATAGGTGTTTGATTTGATGTTTTTGGGGAAAAAAATTGGATGAATAGTGGGATTAAAATCCAATCCCGCAAACAAACACACCAGAGATTAATAATGTTATGCACATGTTGGAATTTGAAATGAATTTATTTGCTTCGGTTAAGAATTTGGCTTTATTATTATTATTATTATCATTATTATTATTATTGCTACATTTTATTTTCATGAATGATGATTGGTTGCTAATCGAAATGAATTTATTTGCTTCAATTAAGAATTTAGCTTTATTCTTATTCTTATTATTATTATTATTATTATTATTATTATTATTATTACATTTTATTTTCATAAATGATGATTGGTTGCTAATCGAAATGAAAATCATATGCATTTGAAGGTTTGATTATGGTTTTCATTTGTGTACTCAAACTTTTCGCCACTTCTTTTGAAAAATATGTAATTCGCCACTTCTTTTGAAAAATATGTAATTGGTGTAATGTGTAAAATAAATAAACCATAAGTTATAGAAGAAAATTTGAGTGTGTTCTTTCGAGGGTTTTTATCCAAAATTTAATTATTCACCATTTTTTTTTTTAAAATATCAAATCAAACATCTATTGTTTTTTTTTTTTAATATTATACTAAAAAACTACTCCTTTTGGAACTTCATAAATCGGTTAAATACGTATTGTACTAATGTCTAATTGATAGGCGAAAATTTGAGTTTGAAACTAAACCAGGGATTTATTATGAGTTTTGATGAGTGAAGTGTGCATTATTGGACATGTTCAAATATAGATAATGAAAAATAAAGTTGTAAACCCTGAATCGCATTATCACAATTATTTATACTCTTTTTACTGGTGAGTTTTCAGGTCGAAAATAGGGATTTTAAGTTGCAAAATTAAAATCAATAATTTCATACAAGTGAAGCGCAACGAAAAAACAGTAAGGCTGGCACGTTGGCGAGCGATTCATAGAGTTATACTAAGACTAAATTTAAAGGAAAACATATAAAGATAAGCATGTGGTAAGACATTCAACAGAGGTAGTGCGTGAGCGATGGGTGCAGCGAAGATGGTGGTGAGTGAAAGCGAACGGGTGAAGGCGAGTGGATTACGTATATATATGATTGACATTAGGCGAGCGTTAAGGAGGACTAGATAATGTTGTATCTGATCTGTATGTTATTAGATGGCTAGGTTCCCATGGATGTAATGAGGAAATGATGAAAGTGAGTAAGCGAAACATATATTTATAATACGTAATGATAGGAAAAGTGAATGTAATTGCGCAAAATGATTAACACAAAAACTGACTTCGATGGCACTTGAACTTAAGGGATTTATAACAAGACTTCAATGACGCTCAGAATCAGAATATTAAAAGAAAGAAATTTTACTGTCACTAGACATTTCTGTGACCCAATAGACCAACGTCTATGCCCCATCAATTATCCTAATCTTTGTCTCATTAGTGGTTTTACCCTTCTATTACATCTCTTTAACAGAATTGAATTCAGAACAACAACTAAACGGGTCGACAAGGATCCCGTGTACTTAGTTACATTGAACTAACTATAATATGTTAATGAATACAATGCGAAACTAGGCTAAGATAGTCGACTCTTCTCTGTTCTTCCACTGCGAAATAGAGTTCTATTCCTAACATCTTGACGCAAATATGAAGCATGAGTGAAGGTGAATATGAAGAAACATTGATATTTCATTAACTACCAAGAAAAACAGTAAAGATTTACATTACAAAAGCAATAATCAAATATGAAAACCAAATCAGTAAACTATTTTAGAAAACAGAAAGGTGAGCAACCAGATGAGGAGAAGATCTCAACTCCTTTGGCCATTCCTATCTAGATAACTCCCTTACAGAGTTGGAGCTCTCGAAAAGTACAAACATCTGTAGTTTGTAATGTCTGTATATTGCGTCGTCTCTATACAAATGGCATATGTCCCTATTTATAGATCTATGGGAATGGCGGTTGCAAACAGTTGAGCGGCAGTTGAAACTGTTTGGGCAGTTAGGTGGTTAACGGCAGTTAATCTGTTGAAGAAGTTGCACAGGCCATAACTCCCTGGTTTCCGCTTCGCTTGCTTCGGAATGTAAAGACACAGACCTTCCTCGCTTGCCTAGATGGTTGGAGGGCATCACCGCAGCTCAAGCGATGTTGTCATAACTGACTGGTAGTGGAATGACTGAACCGCTGAGAGATGAACACTTAATGAATTTTGGTAGTAGTTCACTCTCGTTTGTGTGGTGAAATTACTATTTTTCCCTTATTCTTCATTGCCCTGCCATGGCTTTCATAACTTTCCTGTTTAGCAATTTTATAGTGTAGGTTATTTAGTTTGATCAAGCATACAATTTTTAGTATATTAGAATGCCATTTGCGCTAAAATATGCATTTATTTTACTATTTCGTTAATATATGCGCGATTCTTTGACTGTATTTTTGAACTGCATTGTTCAAATATACAATTGAAATATGCATTTTTTATTACTGCTTCATTAAAGTTTTTTTTTTTTATATTTTCGGATGCAGTAATCTCTTACGTCCACTATTTTCTCTCATTAAGTTTTCATCGAACGTATAAGATGCTTTATTGGCTTCTATTGTCTATTAGGTATCATTCTTACGGGTGACCAATTCTACATCTTCGTAGTGATAGCCAGAACTCGAACCAAGTAGTCACTTTGTGCCCAACTTGGATTACTGAAGTCAACTAATTGTATTTCATATTTTCATTCTTTATTGGCATTACATCCATATAATATTAATGCATATTATACACAATTCATATAAAGCTATGAGATCTTGTTTAGATGAGAAAGACATTATGAGATATTGTTTTGATGCATGTAATTTTGATAAGTTAATTGGGATGTTTCTTAGTGAATTGGGATATTTTTTAGTGTAAGTTTTCAACATTCGTCAATAAGTCCATTATGTTTATTTTCAACATTTTACTTTTTCTTCTCAAGTAGGAGATATATGAGGTTCATGAATCAGACAAACATACATTTCAAGTAATTGATATATTGTGTATAATAAGGTGTTCAAAGTTTGGTCATCAATCAAAATACACAAAACAACAAAACAAATGAAAGCTACTTATATTTATTACCAACCATTCTCGATTTTCTTCTTATTGTATATGTATTAAGTAGGACAAGACAACAAAACAACCAACAAAGGTGGCTATCACAATAAGTTTTCGAATTACCACAAA